AAATGACTTATTGTAATAGGCAGATCTGCTTCACAAGACCTCTTTAAAGTGTTCAACAGCAAAGATATCAGTTTGAGAATTTAGATGCACCTGACCCAAACCATAGTATTTTCAGTAGCTTCATATCCATATGAAAAGTGGACAGTGAATAAGGAAGACTGGAGAGGAATTTATAAATTTGGGTTTGGGTTTTCTTAGGAGCAGGCTACAAGTACTGTGGATTAGCAAAAGAAGAAGAACAACAAAAAATCTGTGTTGGAAGAAGTACAATCAAAATGCTCCTTAGAAGCCAGGATGGCAAGACTTCATTTCTCTTACTTTGGACATATTACCAGGAGGGACCAGTCCCTTGAGAAGGACATCATACTTGGTGTAGTGGAGGGTCAGTGAAAAAGTGGAAGACCCCCAATGAGATGGATTGACACAGTGTCAGCAGCAGTGGGCTCAAGTATGATTGTGATGCTGGTGCAAGACAGGGCAGTGTTTCTTTCTGTTGTGCATAATGTCACTATGACAACATAAAGTTTAAAATGATGTCCTCATAGCTTATTTTATAAAAATCTTTAAAAAATATTTATAACTTGAGTCAGTTTCATAATAGGATAAATAATTCTTATAGATTTGTTTACTTTCATTGAGTATTCTATTTAAAAAGCTTATTTTAATAAAATGTAAACCTACAATATAAAACATCTTCATCTAGATTAGTTGGTGTAGGACCAGGCATTGTTTCATTCTGTTGCGTTTATAAGGTTGGTGTAAATTAGAACCCATGTGACAACACCTAACAGCAACAACATTTAGATTAGGGAACACTTACAGCTATCTTGCATTGAAGTTTGTTAGAGATGGTGTTAGAAATGTAAGTGTAGTATCTTCTCATTTTCTGACTATGTAAAATATTCCTTTTCATCTTTATTGAATATATATTGCTTTTAAAGTTATTGAGTCTTAAGCAGTTATACATTTTTTTCTCTATCAATAAAGTGCATGATGGGTATTGGGTTTTCTATTTAGTCATAGAATATTTTGCCTTTATTGGTTTATCCTATTTTCATAACTATGCCTCATTGCACAATATAAGCAAATATTTCTCTGATAAGTTATTCCATTTATTCATCTGTGTCAGTGATGAATTTGGGTAGTGATTGATTCATTTTGCTGTCTAGATAATCACTGTCTAGATGGATTGGCTTGTTATTTAAAAAATCTTTGGTTCTTAGGTACAGAGTATGAATCAAGTTTTTAACACAAAGATACCAGGAAAATGAAAGGAAAAAATTGTGACTATATATAAACAAGAGGAAAGTGTCATGGATTATACTTTGGTCAGGGAATCAGCCTGAGTGCTCAGTGAATCCCTGTATTCTTTGTTACTTTCTCCTTGAATAAAGGTTTAACTCTTACTTTGACTTTTAAACTCTTTAAAATTTGATTTTTTTCCCCCATGAGCTGTTCACTCCATTCTTTCATTCATACTGCTTTTCTTCAAAGTTTCCTTCATGATATTTCAGAGACCATTCATCTTACCAGATATATATGTAGTAGCAGAATGAATACAAGGAATGTATCATATTATATCCTCTTGTTTCTTTGTGTATCGCTTAAAGTTACTTTGATTTTTTTGCTGTCTGTGATGTGAGTTAAGTTAGATCTAATTTTCTGCTTTTTCTCTTCCCCAAGCTACTTTTGATTATTATGCCTTTTGTAGATTCTAATTGGAATTTTAAAAAATATTTTAAATTTTATTTTTTATTATTTTACCTTAAATCCATCTGTGGTTTGTATTTCTTGATATACTTTTACAACCTTAGCTTAACTTACTTATATTGAAACATTTGTTTCCCCTTTTTTCTTTGTTGTTGTTAAGTGTTATCCAGTCTATTTTGACTCATAGTGAATCAGTATAGGAGCAGCTGGTGGGTTTGATCCATTGACCTTGCAGTTAGCATTCGGGATTATCTAAAACCCATGTACTTCTTTAGTTTACAAGTTGATAGAAACATTTAAAAGTTCCTCTTTTTTGTTTCTGAGATTTTTACCATAAATCATGTCATGATTATTTGTAATCATTATTTAAAACAGCTACTGAATATAAGCTATAACTTTTGTAAGCTCAGGACAGAAGAACTTTGTAGCTGGTTGGTTGTTAAGTGTCGTCAAGTAGGTTCTGACTCATAGTGACCCTGTATAAGGCTTCCACGCCTCCACATCTGTGTGGAAACAGAAAACCTCTTATTTCTCTTGTGGAATGGCTGGTGGGTTCGAACTCTTGACCTTGCAATTCTCTGTCCAGTACTTATTCTACAGAGTCAATGCATGACTCACAGTTACTTGTTGTTGTTGTTGTTAAGTGCCATTATCGAGTCGATTGATTCCAACCCATCACGACCCTGTATAGGGTATCCATAGAGCAGCTGGTGAGCTTGAACCACTGACCTTGCAGTTCAAACGTCTTTGCAGTGTGACGCATTAACCCACAGTGCTACACCAGGACTTCACAGTTACTTCTTGGTGGTGGTGCTGGTGGTTATGTGCCGTGGATTCGGTTCTAACTTATAACAACCCTATACCGGGTTTCTGAAGCTGTAAGTCTTTACAGGAGTAGAAAGCCTCCTCTTTCTCCCACGGAAGAGCTGGTTGTTTTGAACTGCTGACCCTGACATTAGCAGCCCAATTCATAACCACTATGCTACCAGAGCTCCTTACAGTTACTTCTTAAGCTTACATAAATAGGCCTAAAGAAAGAAAGAATGTATGTGATATACATTCCTATTCAAACGAACAAACAAAACCCACCCATAACACACTCTCCTGTATGTATCCCTGAAATTTTTTGGGGGGATCATAGTCTGTGGTGACATGACAATGACATTCTGCTAAGAGATTTGCCACAATTGCTTTCAGTATCCACTAGTGTAAATGCTCCACTTACCTAATGAAATACCTCTTAGTTATGCTATCATTAAGAAAAATTATCTGCTTATAGATTTAAAGTAAATTAATGTCAAATTCAAGTTCGACTACATCAAAGTTTGCATTTTAACATATAAGGAAGGGTAACAACAACTTAGTTGTTATATAGGCATATTATTACAGTACTTGGACTAACATGATACGTAATCTTCTGTTATAATGTCCAGATATTATAAATACACTTCTTGAGAAAATCTGTTACTGAAATGGCTGTTAGCCATATGTAGAGCGTAGTTTACTTACTCATACCTGTCTGTTATTGACTGCTGCTGCCATTTATCTCTTTGGGAAGAATATGAGGGAACGTCAAAAAGTTTTTGGAAAAACTCCATCTATTTCAGTTCCATTTTCCATGAACTTTTTGATGCTCCTTATTAAGTGAAATAAATGATAATCATGTTTTAGGAAAAAGGAAAATAATTGATAATATTAACTTTTTATGTAATTCTGTGTAGACTAAACTTACTGTGATATTAGATCTTGGACTTTAGAAATATTATAGAATAGTTTGTCTTCCTATTCCCAGGGAAGGAAAACTGAGAGGTTAAGATATTCGATAGAAATCACATCCTTAATGTCAGAGTAAGAATTAGGATTCAGACACCTTGAATTTCATGATCATTCCAATCTCCCCATCATATTCTACTTTTGATTCATTATGTGACAACAGTCTGTAGCCAGAAAAACAAATCACATTTTTAAAAACAAATCACATATTTATGAACAATTTATGCAGATTTTCATTTAGAATCAGTGACTCCAGAGTTAGAGCTTTAAGGCTAAAGAGACACTAAGGTTCACTTTTTGAGGCTATGAACAATTTAGCATTTCTTTTCTGTAGTTTGCTTTTGTATCAAATGAGAATACTTACACGAAGCTATATTTTTACAGACAAAAGGCTATGTTAGATTTTTCTGTAATTTTTCTTTTGCTGTTTGGAAATATTTATTGCTTTTAGGAGATACATGAAGTGTTCTTTGGCATTAAATATTTAAATTGCAACCATTCTGGGTTTTTTTTTTACAATTTTTGTTTATGTGCACAAAAATTACTTATTGATTTTTTTTCCATTTTAATTTTGGAGGAAAGATTTTTTGGATCATGTGAATGTGGGAGAATCATGACCAGGCAAGGTCAATGTGTCATCTATTATAAAACCAATGACGTAGAGTTGTTTATGTTCTTCCTACACATTCAGAAATATTCACCTATCAATTTGTATTTTGTAAATCATTTTCTCCCCCATAAGAGAGATCACGTTTTTGGGGGTTATTTTTTTCTCTTTCACAGATCAGGGATTTAAATAATAAAGTAGAGGTATAAATGAGTACTTAAAGTTATAAATGACACCTGGATTTAAGTAATGTCCAGGGTCATTGTGGTTGAGAACTATAATCTAAGTTTATAGTCCAGTTCTTAACATTAGTTATAGAAATTTTATAAAAATGCATTTAAAAATTATGGTATACTAACTTTACTAATTAAATTCCTTCTGATAAAAACTTATTTTATCTTAGAAAATGACCTTAGGCATTCTCCTTTAATTAATTTATTTAGATCAAACGGTTTCAAAAGATTTACTGACAGTGTTTTTCCTTTTTTACAGTTTACAAGTGAAATATTTTAGATTCCTTCTAGAATGAAATTTTGCTTCTCCAGTAATAAGCAATAATCTATCCAAAGAGTTTTCAACATCAGCTTTCATTTTATAATGCAAAAGCTTCACTGTGATATAAAACCTTATGACATTTTAATTAGGAAAATAGATCATGGAACTCCATATGATGGAATAAATTTCCTACTGCTTGCATGTCCTACTAAATTGGAATGAAAAAGATATTAAAACTTACATTAAGTTAGATTTGTTTTCAAATTTGAGGAGTCAGGGAAAAGGGGATACGATAAAATTATGGAATATGTGTTGGGGGCGAGGTTGAAGCTGACCTTTAATCATAAAGAGAAAATATGTTTTGGCCAGGGCATTTGGGTTACATGGTTCTTTCCCCTCCTTTTGTTTATTACAGGTAAAGGGGAAGATAGTGATGTACTCAGTATAAATGCAGATGCTTATGACAGCGACATAGAAGGCCCATGCAATGAAGAAGCAGCTGTTCCTGAGATCCCAGAAAATCCGATCCAAAGTGAAGCTGGTCAGATAGATGACCTGGAGAAAGACATTGAGAAAAGTGTGAATGAGATTCTGGGACTGGCAGAGTCTAGTCCAAAGGAACCCAAAGCAGCCACTCTAACTGTTCCTCCATCAGAAGATGTCCAGCCGTCTGCACAACAACTGGAGCTGCTAGAACTTGAGATGCGGGCCAGAGCAATTAAGGCGCTAATGAAAGCTGGTGATGTAAAAAAGCCAGCATAGTTACTGAATTAGAATGTAAGGTGTATGTGAATGAAGCCACGTCATATAATTTTGTACGTGAAGATGATTTTGGGTCTTATATTACATTTCTTATGTAATCCTTGTTAGGTAAATTAATCATAGGCTTAAAATGTTGTGGTTTTTTTTTTTTTTTTTTGTAACTTATATATATATATGTTACTGTTTTATGAATTCATGACAGGTGTAGTTGGATAGCCCGGATGCTTTGTTAGATGAGTACTTAGCTGCATTTACAAATTAATATCTTGAATGTCATAAGCAAAAAGTCACGACATTTTTTTCTTTACTTTTAAATATTTTAGCTCCAAACCTAAATGCTTCAGAAATATTGACCAAGCATGTTGCTCTTAAGGCTACCAATCTTTTGCAATAGAATATTAAATTATTACTTCTAGATTTGTTAACAGTTTAAGAAATTTAGTTTTGCTTATCTACACTTCTAAAATATATATTGTCTTGGAGATGCCTTCTGTTGATGTAGATTTACTAGTTAAAACTGAATTACATTTTTCTCTGTAGTAGCTGAGGGAATCTTTTCTGTAAGTGAAAAAAGTGACTTAATTTAAGGCAATTAATTATTAACAACGTGGAACCAATTGCTTAAGGTTAATTCCAGGACACAAATCATTCTAACAGGTATTTGATATTATTGGACACTTAGTTCAATTTTTTGGTTGTTTGTTTTTAATAAAAAAGGAACAAATTCTCATTTGCATTCCAAGCTATTGAGAAAAGGAGAATGCTTTACTATATTGCATTTCATTTAGTTTTTGTTTTTTTTTCCCCCTAGAAGATCTGATGTGATATAAACTCCATGAATCAAAAATAATAAACACTGTCATTCTGGATCTGGAGACTTTTGATACTTTTCCAAAAGCAAAATTAATTTCATGAAACTTTGATAAGTTGATGTCATAATTAATCTAATTTTGTATAGTTTTTGTAAATAAGTTAACATCCTGCCATAATGAAGGATGCTTTTTCCTCCCATAACTAATTGCAGCTTTTGATATCAAAATAAGTTTAGGCAGGAACCCCTAACTTAAAATAAATTAATTTTCTTCTTGAATATCAATCTTATAATGTTGGTTTTATATTCAATTACAGCTACAGTACATTTTCTTTATAAGCCATGCTCTACTGGTATTGTATGAGAAGCTTCCTCATATCCAAAGCTTTTAGGAATTATGTTTTACGTATGGAACTAGAGGACGTTTATTAAACATTGGAGGTACAGTCAAACATTCCTTTTTTTGCACCCTGACATTCCTATCAAATAGCCCTGCCATTTGCCATTTATTTTTCTCCATTAATTTTTCTAATGAAACAGAACCCTGTATTACTTGAAATGCTTCTCTTAATGCTGGTAACTGTGGATATGACGTAAAGAGTGAGCTCTCATTGTTACTGCTTTAGGAAGAACAAGCAAGCATCAGTTTTGGTAAAATATTTCTATTCTAAATTAAAAGATAAAATAATAAACTTCATTGCTGTTTATGAATTATAAAATGCAGTAGATGTCATTTGTGTGATTAAACATATGACATGAAAGTTTTAGGTCTGAGTGCTCTCTGACCGAATACCTTCATGGAACATTGTTGTTGTTATGTGCCGTTGAGTCGGTTCCGACCCATAGTGACCCTGTACAGGGTTTCCGAGGGTGTAAATCTTTACGGGAGTAGAAAGCCTCATCTTTCTCCCACAGAGCGGCTGGTAGTTTCGAACCGCTGACCTTAAGGTTCGCAGCCCAATTCGTAACCACTATGCTACCAGAGCTCCTTTTAAATGTCTTGTTTTAGTCATTGTGCAGAATGGTTGAGAGGATATTTGGGTGGTGTGGATTAGTGTGAAGTAGAATAAGCTGAACAAATTAGAAGCTAGTTAGATGCCTACCTTGGAAAATCAACTTTCTGGTCTTTTTTTAAAAAAAAAAACTGAAAGACTTGAGGCTTTTGAGAATGCGTGGCTTACAGAATAGGAAGAACTTTGTTTTAAAAATGCCTAAGTAATGGCAAAATACCAAATATTGATCTGATGTTGCTGTTTAAATCATCATCTTAGAGGTCTTTATTTGAATGCTTCTGAGGTATTCAGTCTTGTTCAGAATATTAAATCCAGAGATGGTGCAGTATGGATGAATGCTTGGAATGAATGTACTGATTAATAAGCATATGGGTGCTTCTACTGCTTATGGATGCTTCCTCCTTTGTTTTGAAGTAAAGGAAACTTCTGGGTTCTATTTAATGAAAATAGAAAAAAATAATTGACAGCCCTATTTCCCATTCAACATCAAGCAGTCCTGAGACTTCACTTAGCCCAAGTCTTGAAGGATAGCTGCTCACTGATAAGGGTTCCTCTGAGTTTATAATCAGTTGGCTCAAGGACCAGGCCTTTGGAGACTTCTAGATGTTGTTACCTATCAACATACTCAAGATAGGTCCTAAAAATCTGTCATCTGGCTGCCAGCAGAAATTCCTATTATGAAAAATACACCATCAATGCCTCCAGCTGTAAGGCAGCATATCCTTTCCTCATAAAAGTCGTTTAAGGACCGTCGAGTTGGTTCCGACTCCCTGCAACCTATTATAGGATTTCCAAGGAACAGTTGGTGGGTTTGAACTGTTGACCTTGCGACTAGCAGTCCAGTGCTTATCCTACAGCACCTCACCAGGACTTCACTTCCTTATCAATATTGTTGCCAGATTCTTTGCAGAAAAACATTAGAGCACGATTGTTTATCTGAGTAAAGGTGTTCTGAGTCTGTTTGAACAGTAATGCAAATGACAATAGACATTTTCAAAATGCCATTTTCAAAGCAAATGGGCAGCCACAATTTGGGCCAAATATATGAGGGTAAGTAAAAAAGTAATGCTACAAAACCATAGAAACCTTTATTAAGCAAAAATGTCAAAATGTGAAGGTACTGTTTCTTGACATCTCCTCTATCCAGGTCTGTACACTTTGGGTGTACTTCCATCTCTAACCTTTCCCCAAAGAATCCTGCACTCTTCTATTTACACCATGTCAAAATAACAGTTTACACATCCTTGAGGGACTCCAATCCTGTTCCTTTTCAGTGTTCTTTGATTTTGGGAAGTGAAAGGAATTCTGAAGGGGTAAGATCAGGGCTGTAGGGTAGATGAAATAAGGCTTCCCAGTGAAATTCTAGGACAATTCTTGGTGCCCTCCAAGAACAAGCAGGTGCATTTTGAAGTGAAAAAATTCCTTGAGTAACTTTCCTGCCTTTTTTTAACCAATGCGGTGTTCACTTTTCTTAAATGTCTTCCTCAGATGCCCGTGATTGACCTGTGTCTTCTGAGAAAATCTATTACGATTACTGCTTTTGAACCCCCCCCTCAAACAATTGACATAACATTCTGAGCTGACCTCACTGCCTTGAATCGATCCCCTCAGAAGGGGATACCCACCAGTAGATTCCCTCAGAAACCTCTGCTTTGATTGGACCTTTTTTAAAGGCACCCTAATGTGACTAAGACAAGTATATTACTGAGGGAACTTGTCTGAAGCCATCCACTAATTGCCAGCTGCACCTTAGTCTTCCAAGTGACATTTTTGCTATTCAACACTTTAAGAGATCTTTTACAGTGTATTTGTCAATGTACTGAATCCTTTGATTTCTTGACTGCTGTTTCCATGGGCCTTAATTGTGGATCCAAGTAAAATGAAATCCTTGACAATCTTAATGTATTCTTTGTTGATCTTGATGCTGCTTGTTGGTCTATTTATTTTCATGTTGAGGCATGTTTAACATGTTTTGTTTGGAATAAATTCATACATATATTAACTGTAATTTTACCACAGGACTTTTTGTACATGGGAGCCAAAAATGTTAAACATTCACATTACTATTTCATCATAAAAAAAGAGGATCTAGTTATATGTGCTTTTCCTTTGATGTATCTCTGTTTATTTTATTTTTTTAAGTTTGTATGTGAATTGAGTGATAATTTGCATGGGGGAACATCAGTTTTACACTCATTGTTTCATTGCAATGATTACAATCTCCTCTGTGCATCATCTTTCAACAGTAGTTTTACTTCTATTCCCTCTGGTTTTTTTGGGGGGGTGAGTGGGATGTACACAAAAAACACTCAGGAATATATAATTATTTAAACAACCAAAGAGCACATTCTGCAAGCCTGCTTCCTGGCTGCAAGCACACCGCCTTTCTTTTTCCATGAGTCTAGAGTCCTCAGCTGCTCTATTTCTCCATGTTCTCATTTCTGCTTCCATCTCTGGTGTCTGCTTCTCTGGGTAGGGTCCTACATTCCACTCATGCTCTTCTCCCTTGATTCTGTTTAATTTTTAAGATGTAAATTACCAATATGCTAATTTAAAACTTCTTTATCCATTTTATATACTGTTTGTCTTCTACTTGAAGACTAGTGAATAATCAGTGGTATTAGGTGCCATCCACTCAGTTCTGACTTAGCAACTGTATGTACAACAGAGTGAAACTACCCACTTCTGGACCATCCTCACAGTCGTTGCTGTGTTTGAGGCCAGTGTTATTGCCACTGTACCAGTCCTTCTTGTTGAAAGTCTTAATCATTTTTTGCTGACCCTCTACAATAGTAGGTATGATATTCTTTTCTAGGGACTGGTTCCTCACCATCCTTTCTTCTAAGGTGTATTCTGGTTGTACTTCCTTCACCACAGATTTGTACATTCCTGTGACAGTTTATGATTCTTTGCTAACATCACAATTCAAATGAATCAATTCTTTGGTCCTCTTTATTGTCCAGTTTTCACATGAATGGGGCAGTTGAAAATATTATGGCTTGGGCCAGGTGCACCTTAATCTTTAAAGTGACATCTTTGCTTTTTAACACTTTAATAAGAGATCTTTTACAGTATATTTGTCAATGTACTGAATCCTTTGATTTCTTGACTGCTGTTTCCATGGGCCTTAATTGTGGATCCAAGTAAGATGAAATCCTTGACAATATTAATATATT